TTAAAATGATAAATATCGTTATAAAAGAGGATCAAAATTTGTCAATTTGACATCATTCTAAACACCGTACTCGCTAAATATTTTCGACTGAAAACGCTATAAATCCACAATCTCAAAACAGCTGTGTGTTATGATGATTCCTTCTTAATGTGTTATTTACATATATGCCTCATTCGTCTACTGGCTGGCGTGTACAGCTGCAGATCCAGAGGTTTTGAGTTCGAGTCCCGCATCAGGCTTTTAAACTCAATGTCTCATATCTTTTCCGTTTCTCAGTAAAATTGCCCGCTTTACGCGATAAACAGCAACGTTTCGCTGCTTACACAATAAAAAAAAATTATGATAAAAAAATAACATTATCGAAAATGGACACGGGTAAAAGTCTGTGGTATGAATCTCGCAAACTTTGGTATATTTTGTAACTGAATCAAACCAAAGAAGTGCACACCTATTCTTTCATTACGTACCTCTTGAAAAGGAACAACACTCCCTTGTCAAATTCACATGTCTATCTATAGCCAGAATATTTGCATGTAATACATAGGTATATAGTGGTTTAATTAATTGCTTTGAGGACTCCAAACCATTAACTTCTCCATAAGGAGACTTAATTATCATCGAGAGGTACCTACTTATTTGACTGCTCTAATTGACATCAACTATAACATAATTACTACAATTCCATCTGTTTATCCGCGCTTGTCTTCCGAACAAGTAAATGAATCTTGATTTGAATATAGTTTTCATCGACGTAATATGCCAAGTAGAATAAACCCGTGGACCAAAGCTAGTTGCAAATATATTTTTTTCAAACCAAGCCAGAAACCACATACTAATATGTAATAAACGGGAGTACGATTTCTATATTGCGTCTCTTTACTGGAGTTCAATTTTCTATCATGTGACGTAATCTCTTAGAAAGCGTTTGAGTATTTTCGGTTTCAAATAAGCTATTCAGTTTTTGTAGGCCTTGAGATGATAACTTCTAAGCTAAGTAATTCAAGCCTACCTATTAAATACATACCTAATCAAATATTTTCGAAATCGGTGCCAGCCCATACAAAGCAAAGCACACCGACTTCGAAAATATTTGATAAGGTATGTATAGTAAATGAAAACTACCAATCAGTTATTTTTCACTTTTTAGTGCTTTTGTTTGAAGTCGGTTTTTATTTTTTTGTTATTACTCCAATCATGGGTGTTTATATTTATAATATGTATGTATTTAAAGTTATATATGTGTAGTGTATCAACTGTCTGGTACCGATAACACAAGCCTCGTAGCTTACCATGGAACTAGATGGTGCTGTGTGTTAATGTCCCAACATATTTATTTCATATTTATTAATAAATAAACTAGTTAAAGTATCACAACTATTTAAAAAACTAGTTTTCGCCCAGTGGTTGAAATTCAACCATAATCAATATTGACGATTTGAAAGAAAACATGAATAGAATTTACCTATCTATATAAAAATACTGTTTCTAAAACTTTTTTATTGATAGCACTAAACCTCGTCTATAGCTACTAAACAAAAACAAAAAAATCAGTTCACAAACAAAGGAGAAAAATGTACTGAACTATATTGTCTCTCTTTACCAATTTATTTGTAGATAACTGTTGCAAAGTCTAATTGAATTAATAAAATTTATGCAGGTGGTATACGTAAATGCATTTGCCAGCGTTTAAAAAAGTCATTTGTATACTAAATTTCATATAAATTCGTCCAGCCGTTGTAGCTTGAAGGACTAAAAAACACACACACACACAAACAAACATTCGCATTTATAATATTAGTAGTTATTTTTTAGATTCTAAGCGTTTTTACTAATCTTCAAATTAAAACGACTCTCTATTCTTTCTAAATAGAAAATTACTCTATCAGTGTAATCCACTGCTCTGTTTAGCGCCAAACATAAACAACGAACCAATCTCGTAAAATAAACAGCCGTTGGAGTGAGTTGTAAATGTAACAAATGTACTACAGATTTATGTTGACAACAGGTTTTAGGGGATTCTATTTTTAATGATTAATATTACTGTTTCTTTAAATAATTTGAGGTATGAAGTAAATTGTAAGTATCCTACATGTTGACACGGGTAACTAGCTATCATCATACCAAATTACAACAAAATCTGTCCAGCGGCTTTCTCAGACAGACAGACAAAAATTCTAAAAACTATAGATTGGTCGATAATAATGATTAATGACTATTTTAATAAGATTTTCCAAATAATATTTAAGCATGAGACATACATATTAATTTAAAGGGAGCCTATATTTTCCGACTCCACTGGTCGGAAAGCTTAAACTTTGGTACATACATACATACGTATGTAATATGTATATAGAGAGAGATAAAAATATAATAAATATATTTAGTACTTTAATTGGAAATTAAAAATAAATATGAAGTGGGTATATGTGTTCATTTTAAGTAAAAAGTTTATTAAATTATTAAGATTCAGATAAAAGACTAACATAATAAAATAAAATAAAATAAAATAAAATGAAATAAAATAAAAGAAATAACATAAGTCTTCATTCTTTTTAAACAATCAAAATGATGAGCCTCGTTTGCATGAATTCGACTTTCACTTGACTATTTCTTTTTTATTATAAATGTATTTAATTTAAGCTAATTAATCTTCTTATATAAATAAAAGCGAATGTTGGTTCAAGAATGGCTGGACCAATTCGGCTTAATTTTTTCGTATGTTCCTTAAGGTCCACGGAAGGTTTTAATAAAAAGAAAAAATGAAAAATTAACGAAAAATCAAATTAAAATTTATATTATGGCTAACGCTGGCTAATAACTATTTATATATATTTAAAACGTACCTAGCGACGAACCCGAGCGAAGAACTTTACGCTATTGAGCATAAAAGTTACACATTTATTTCATTTACTAATATAATCTACTCTCAACGCTTATAATGTTCTAGCATTGCCCGCGACTCCGCCCACGTTCAGATGACCAAAAACCAAATTCTTAGGTTTTACATATTAGTATACTCTTTACATTACAGTTTTTGTATTTTTTCTCAGAAATGAGATATTTTCCCGTGGTAAAAAGTTTAATTATATAAATGTAAAATTATAAATAGTCCTATATTTTGAACCGGATAACCAGCTATCACTATACCAAATTTCATCAAAATCCCTTTAGTGGTTTTTCTGTGATGCGGTAACAGACAGACAGACAAAAAATCTAAAAACTATAGATTCGGCCTCTGTATCGATAATGTTTATTTCAATAAGATTTTCCAAAAAAATATCTAATGTACAGATTCGGCTCAGTTACAATTTTATTATATGTATAGACAAGAGAGCTAAAATCCCCACTTTACTCTGCGAGTTTTAATAAAGAGACGAGCAATGTAAATATTTTTGCTAAATGAGAGAGCCGTTTTCATTAAACCTCTTTTTGTTCATTTTTCCTAAATTATTATATAACTAGATTTCGTTTACAGCCTTATCTGATTATTTTAGTTTTAAATCACATGTCGGGTACTGCTTGATATTTCCTGACAAGGTTATGTAGTAAACGAAAAAACTATGAGTAGTTTTATATGACACTAGCGACTTACACTCACTGGACTGGGGTGCTCCTCCAGGTATGTTTAAATTTTTTGAGCGGAACCCTAATTCTTTTCCAAAAATAAAAGCAGCCTCAGTTACTCCTTATAACTCCAGCTATCTGCCAGTGTAAATCCCGTAAAAATCAGTCCAGCCGTTTCGGTGATTAGCCGGAACAAACAGATAGAGACAGACAGACAAAAATTGAAAAAATGTCTTCTTCTTATAAGTATGTACCGTATATAATTTCATAAGTATTTAGTAAAAAGCTATTACTTTGACATTAAAAACAGATACTTCAATTTTATTTATCTGTATAAATCACGAAGATTAAACAATTTAAACTGTATTTAAATATTTTTTGGAATATTTTATTGAAATAGTCATTATTATCGATAAAGAGGCTGAATCTATAGTTTTTATAATTTTTGTCTATCTGTCCGTCTGTCTGTGACCGCGTCACCGAAAAACCACTGTAGAGATTTTGATGAAATTAACTATGATGATAGCTTTTCATCCAGGTCAAAATATAGCATACTTTTTACTGCGGAAAAATATCTGAGAAATCTATAGTAAACCTTAAAACGTAAGTAGGGACGAACCTGAGCAGAGCGAGGATGAGTCGCTAGTGATTTATAAAAAATGTGACATCTAAAGTCACAATTTATACCTACATAATATTTATGAATAATTTTAACATTAATCCATTTTCCATTTTCCTCCCAACTCTTTCATCCCAATTCCGGATAATTCTAAATAAATTACGATTCCTTTCATGTCATGAACAAACGAAATTTTTATTTTTATTTAAATTTTCCTTCAGCCGGCCTACCTCCGTCTGTCGGTCACACACCCTAATTACTTATATCTTTGAAACATTTATGCTCTTTAAATACCCACTAATGCAAAAAACAATAGTATAAATTAAAAGTAAATCAATCTGGGTTCTGGCATTTTCTGGTAATGTGCGCAGATAAGAAATAATAATTAAAAAACAAATAAACATCAAATATCTGTGCATCGCATAGATGCACAGGGTATAATTGATTACTTAAACGTCCCAGTCCCTATAAAGATAGATTAACGTCATGAAAACGCAACCTCAATTCTTAAAACAGTAGCAAAAAAGTGTTATAATGTATATATTTTTTTAGTAGTAAGCGCCATCTTAAAATAGTTTACGCAATATCACTCCCAAAATCAAGAGGAATCTGGTGTCACCACATTGGTTAAAATTCGTCAAAGTGGTACGCCATACCAAAAACATACATACATACATATAATCGAGAAATTGCAATGCTATTCCTGAGCAAACACATGATAATATAAAAAGCGAAAAAGATATACAGGTACATAATGAGATTATGTAAGGATATATTTTTTCCGTTTTATACTTTATGTGAATTGTAAGGATAATTAATCACTATCTAAGAAGAATCGTAAACTAGAAATTTTCATTGTACAACTTTTTACTATACTTACAGAACATTCGGGATCCGTTGTATAGGATCCATTGCTGAAGTACTTCTTAGGGCATTCAGACCAGGGCAGTTCCGCCTGGAAGCTTTGTGCAAAGTAGAACAAACACCATGCGATTATAGAGTTGTAATACAGAGCCACATTGAAAGACACCACTGCAGAACTGATCCCGATACCACCCAAGTACGGAGACACCTGGTGCCACACACCTATAGCACCCTTCCTCAATCGCTGACCAATAGCTAGCTCTAAATAAAATATCGGTATACCCTCAATCGCCAACATCACGAAGTAAGGGATTAAAAAGGCACCACCCCCATTTTTTTGAGCTAAATATGGGAATCTCCACACGTTCCCTAAACCGACCGCGTACCCAACTGTTGCTAGTAGAAAAGTTAACTTGCTATCCCAAGATTCTCGTTCAACTGCTACGCCCTCAGGTTTTAATTCAGCTCTTTCATCAGCAGAACTAGCTTTACTTGTTGGAGTTTCTGACGAACGTCGGTTAGGGCTCGTGTCTTCAAACGCCTTATTAGTTGCTCCATACATAACGTGGGTACGATGAGACGAATGACCATTTTCCAGTGTTACTAACCGACCCCTCAACTCTTTCATTTCCATTCTGTCTAGCGAACGCTGTGCATATAAATCACGAGAGCTTTGACGTCTCATCAAATGTGCTGTATTCGCCATTTTTAGTTAATTTTATTGCCCAAATTTAAAATATCAAATTTAAACCCAACTTTACTTGAGTTATTGTCTAAAAGGATTCGTTCTCGTCGTCGTGGCACATAATGGAGAACAATAAATGGGAGATGATTAACATTGGTTTAATTATATACTGCAACTGTACTATTATCGATTGGCATAAGAATTGGGCCATGTTTGAAATAGTTAACCGATTTATGTTCACTTCGCGGTCAAGATGTTCACAGGTTGATGATTATGAAAGGTTTTTGGGGTCGCAAGCAGGCGATAGGGTTGACGTGGGTGTTGAACGTGACTGGTGGGAAAGCACTGAGGGATGAGGGAGTCTGATCGCGTCGCGTGAGGCGCATGCGTATATGAGCTTTACGAAATAGGTTTTTGTAGCTCTGACCATTAATCTTCAATCTCATATGCTCTTAGCTGTCCCCCACACAATATGGTTCGGATGACTGATAAATGATTTCAATAGATGTTATTCCGCTTCCAGAATATGTAGAGTAATTAAGTAATTTACTTCGGTTTTGTTGTTTTATTTCGCTGTTTTATGCCAATTAAAAAGATTAGTTAAAATCACTTTTATAATTACAAGTTAATAAAATTATTTTTCTTGCAAGCGTTATTTTCATACAATATCAAAGTAAGGAAAGTTATTACCAGGAGTTTCGTCGCGATGAAGTCGTTTAAGTCGACATTTTTTATTTTATGTCAAAAAAATTAGAGCGATAAATCTTGAAAGAGAAATGAGTTGCTCAATTTTTATAGCAGACGTTGTATATCTTGTAAGTAGTCTTAAAAGCTACGATTTTTAATTATAAGTTTAAACATAACTTTTATGAACCAGCTTTTACAAACTCAGCAAAATATCTTTTACGATATAACATTTTTAGGATTTCAGCGAAAGAGCTTTTGTAAATGAGACAAAAGACCAAATATACCAATATAATAATGAAATCAGAAATGGAATTAGCTTGCATCCTATACATGATATTATCGAAATATTCTGTAAAACTAGTAAACCTCAAAAAAATAAAAAGTGTGTGTGTTTATGATTTCTATGAAAATTTTCTATGAAACGATGACGGATTTCTATGTAGTAAACAGATAGAATAACCTGTGCCTAGGTAAGCTCGTAAGTTGCCAGTTATCGTCACTACTGACACGGTAATGTAATGCATATATTACCGTGCTACTGACTTCAATCAATAGCTGGAGTAAATAATAAATACTACTCGAATGTTTAAACTGATTCAATATATTTAAATACTCCGTTAACAAGTAAACACCTACTCTTACATCTAATATATAAAATTTCCACGTCACAATTATAGTTACCGTACTCCTCCGAAACGGCTTTACCGATTTTTACCAAATTTTATATGCGTATTCAGTAGGTCTGAGAATCGGCTACTATCTATTTTCCATACCCCTAAATGATAAGGGTGGCCCACATTAGGGACGAACCCGAGCGGAGCGAGGGTGAGTTGCTAGTATTATATAATATCAGAGTTTATTTACTCTATTATTTATATTATAATAGTATTTTTATTCGCTTTAGCCAACATATTATTGCTGCATGTGGAACACTACAATTATATCTATTTAATACTTTCTAAGATTTACGCGAATATTTGACATTAAATAAAACTATCTTTTCGGATTATTTCGCGGATTTATTTTGATTTTTGGTTCCCGACGTTTCCAATGCTTTACAGCAATCATGGTCACGGGAGAGACTGAGGTGTTAGATGTCTCAAAGGCATTATACACTTGTTAAAGACAGTGCCTACCCACTATTTTACAAAATTGATCTCAAAAATTAAAAAATTGCACCAAAATACCTTACAATATTTGTTGATTTTTATTTTGAATGTATCTATCTAGTTATCTAGATAGATATAGATAGTAAATACCTAATCGCTATCTAGCTTGTCAACTATGCATTATGCAATCGAGAAAAACTCAAGTTGGTTTATTTCCCAAGTTGTTATAACAGGTCTGTTTTTACGGAAAAAACCCAACAAAAATACTTTCACATTTATACAATAAGAAAGGGAAAAGTGCGAATTTGATTCGCACCAGGCGTTCCATTCAACAAAATACTTATGTAATTTTTTATATTAAAACTTACTCTTTACGTAATATAAGCAATAACAGTATCAACAATTTTGTATTTCATAGTATTTCTTAAAAATACTAAGAAAAACAAAGTTATTTTTGCAGTTGCTGAACTAGCAGAGAAAGGCAGTAAAACTATAAATATCCTATCTTACCTATATACGTTCCAAACCTACCTCCGTACCTCTATAGAACCATAGTCCCCCAATAAAGTGGCTGTAGCCTGTAATGGACAGACGGATATGACAAAACTATAAGTTTCGTTTTTGCATTGGATTATGTAGCTTCGAAACACTAATAAATAAGATTAAAAGTTTATGTATGAATGTGTCGCTAACGTTAATTTTATTTAGGTACTGTACCTATATTTAAGAATTCTTATATATTTATATAATATTGGCCTGTAAAAGTACCTTCGAGATTAGACCCTCGGCCGCTACAAGCAAACGGTCTACAGAGACCTGCTCTAATATTATGCTGATTGAAACAAACTGAAATATATGTACATTTCGACGTAGCTATTTTAATTATTTTTCAAATCTATTATTTAAAAAAAAACATTTAACAGAATTAAGTGTCTCCTTTTTGATGACGAACAAAAAGTATAATGGGCCAGGCACTGACTGACTGACAGATTAATTACGAAATCTCAAAAACTACTGAAGCTAGGATCTTGAAATTTGGTCAAGTAATATATACATATAATAAAATAGTAACTAAGCCGAATCTGTACATCAAATATTTTTTGAAAAATCTTATAGAAATAGACATTATTATCGATACAGAGGCCGAATCTATAGTTTTTAGATTTTTCTGTCTGTCTGTCTGTCTGTCTGTGACCGCATCACGGAAAAACCACTGGAGGGATTTTGATGAAATTTGGTATGATGATAGCTGGTTATCCAGGTTGACATATAAGATACTTGTTACTGCGGGAAAATAACTCATCTCTGAGAAATCAATACTAAACATTAAAACGTAAGTGGGGACGAACCCGAGCGAAGCAAGGGTGACTGGCTAGTTATATAGATATCAATAAATATTCAAAAGAATTATCATCATTTAATAATAAATTTATATGTTTGTGTTCTTTAGAGTTAAAGCTGTTAGGTAGTTAGATTTTTCCTTATTTGCGCTTAGTTAGGTGATTACATATGTATTATACATAATATCTATTTTATCTATATACTTATAGACCAATCGAAATCCGTTTATGTTTAAGAGAATTTTTTTTTTATTGAAAACCATAAGTTTTATGATTTTAAAATGTTAGCAGATATAAGGTATAGAAATTCGTAAAATGGCCCCGATGCCCAGCTAACCTCGAGATATGGGTTGAAAAATAGTTTTTTTCAAAATCATAAAACTTCAGGTTTTCAATATTTTCTTCCTAAACCGGATTCCGATTGGACTATTACTAATATGCGAAAAGGAAACTTTGTACCCATTTGTAAGCATATTATGCAAACGGAACCTTTTTATGAAGAAGAATTTCAGAAAGCTCAAATTTCTTGGTCTCGCGTAGTTTATTTCTGTACTGTTTTTAAAATCTGTAGCGTGATGTTAGATACTCGTAGCTTTCTATAACACAATATACAGATGCTAGATTACTTTAAATTATGGATACTGCCACCCACTTCATAATATTTTAAGGTAGATAAAAAGTGGAGATAGCACTATGGAAGCCAATCTCTCAACCTCTATTAGAAAAGATTTTTAAAGAATGTACATTTTACAATATACAACACAAACAAAATTTATTTTAATAATTTAAAATTCAAGACGTGTACCTACTACGTTTAAGAGGACCATTTTGCATATATTTCGGTTATTTAGTTGTCCTAATAGTTCCTAAGTCTACAAAGCTTGTGAATTTGCCTTAAAGCTGGGTAAATAACAAGGGTGAAATTAACAAGTTTATCTTCACTTCCATTTCAACGGGATCAATATTTAGTTCAATTCCTTTCAATATTTAGTTTTATAATACATTTACTTCTTTTATTTTCTTCATATTTTAGCCGAGTATGATTATATATCTTTTTTTTAATAAACTAAGAAAGAGCAAATACAAAAAAAATGCTTAAGGTAATATGAACCGTTAAGAGTGGAATAAAAGTGATTGGATTTTATACCGGAAATCATCCCTTAAGAGGGTGAAAATGGGGATGAAAGTTTGTATGGGGAATCATGCTAGGGACGGACCCAAGCCAAGCGAGGGTATGTCGCTAGTATTGAATAAAATAACATGTACTTTACAAAAACCTATACAAAAATAAATGTCGACTGTCGTTTTGGCATCAAGCGTAGTAAACCCTAAACACAGCAAAATTTTATCACTTTGTTCTACACGATTTGCTCTTGACATGGCAATTTGTGTCCGCCTTCAAAAGAAATTACCTTATGAATAAAGAAAAATCCGACATAATAAGTTCAAGTAAATCTATTACGCAGTGAAATAACATTTAACCTGCATAATTGGCTTAAAATTCATTTAAAAATATTTTTTAACTTTAATTTCTCAAATATTTTCATACAATTCGCGGATGTTTGCTAATCATATTTTATATTAGAGACTAGAGACTCACCCTCACTTCGCTTCGTGTTCGTCCCTAGACAAAATCAAATGTATCCAACAGGAACCGTAAATTTTTCCGGGATAAAAGTAATCTTCGCTCGCGCTAAAACTTCAAAAAAACTAAAAAAGTAGGTTTCATACAAACGTTCATCCCCTTTTTTTTTAACGTTGGGAAATGCATTTGCGCACGAGGTGTGACACTCACCGGCAAAGCCAGTACTACCCACTAAAACCCAACAAAGCCTTCCCCCGTCTTAATGGGGCGTCGCAGGATCGCTTACGCATTCAACTACGA